CCCACTCCAAGAAAGTGAGATCAGGGAGACTCCTCCGCCCCCATTGGACATCGAGGGGGCACCGGCGTACTCCGTGAGGTCCATCTTGGATTCGAGACGTCGGATGGGGGGTCTCCAATATCTAGTGGAGTGGGAGGGGTACGGTCCGGAGGAGCGGTGCTGGGTGCTGAGGAGAGACATTTTGGACCCGTCTCTCCTGACGGAATTCCATCGTGGGCACCCGACGCACCCTGCTCCGCGTCCTCCGGGTCGGCCCCGAGGCCGGAGTCGGCGCACGTCTGGAGCCGCGCGTCAAGGGGGGGGGTACTGTCACGGTTTCGGCCGAGGCTGCCTCTCTCCCTTGTTCGGGCAGGCTTCGGCGTTCGTTGTCTCCGGAATACTAGCTGCCACCGTTGTATGTTTCATGTTCGTTTGCTTTTGTCTGTTTGTAGTGACACCTGTTCTCGTTTAGCCTAATTAGTGTCCTATAAGTTTATCGTTGTGTTTGTCTAGTGTTGTGTGTTATTGATTTTGGTCTGTCGTGTGTTGGGCTTATTTTCGCCCTTTCGCTCGGTTGAGCTTTCCTCCACTGCGTTGGAGTGTTACGCACCTGTTAGTGCGCTTTTTGTTTATTCGCCTTCGTGCGTAATTTTTGCCTTCGGGCAAGTGTTGTCATATTTTCCTGTTTGGAGATCGACTAAAGTCTGTTGGACTATCCTTCGGTGTTCTGCGTTTGATTCCACCACTACACCCACCTACAGCACGCGTGACACTTACTTGCATTACTTTGAAGCTAAACAATTTCTCTTACTTGTCTATCAACAGATGAATGTGGCTCTATGTCTCAGTTTGGCAACCCTTTAAGAACAATTATACGTTTTTGAAACACTTACAAATGACCTCCAGCTCTGGCTCAGAATGTTAGTTTCTAAAATGTTTTATACATAACCACTACATCTTAGAGAAGACAGGAAAAAATATTTCAAATCATGTACTTACATGGATGGCCTACAACATATGCTTGTGTAGGGGACCAGTGTGGTGTCAGACGAGAGGACAGGTTTCTAATATTTCAGAGACTATTGATGCCACTATAATCATACTAACACACAACAAATATTACTATGAGATACATTTGGGTTTAAGGAGATCAGGGCCTTTTCTAGTATTTTGGGGGCCAACATTTCTACACATTTTGCCAAAGGGCGTAGAGAAAATGTTGTTGTTTTAAAGTCAATTTTCTGCAATTCTACAAATGTTTCTATGGAGATGAGAGAACATTAATTTTTGCAGTTTGAAAGTTGATTTCATGCGATAATACACATTTTCCTATGATTTCCTATGATATCTGAGAGCAACTAACTAAATCAATGGGGGCCCTGTGGAGGTCAGGGCCCCTGGGCACATGCCTTGCGTGCCTGGTCAGTAATCCGGCCATGATTACTGAAAGGTTTAGATAGCTGGCTAGACTAACGTACCTAGCAATCTATAAAATGTTAGCTGACATGGGCTTATTGAGTGACTGTCAGTGACTGACATAACAAGAGGAAAACTGCTGATGCACAACCAAATTTTGAAATTGCACCTTGTGTATTCTACTACTACTCCATATAACAGTAAGTTGAGACCCTGCCTGACCCCCCCCACCCCCCATCAAAAAATATATATCATTTTTTTTTGGGGGGGGGGGCCCTAGCAGCTGCAGGGCCCTAAGCGGCCGCTAATGTCACGTATGCCTAGAAATAGCACTGAACGAGATATTTGACATTCTTTTTTAGTTTAGGACCTGTACAGGATGCAATTTAGGCAGTGTTGCATTTCTGCAACCGTGTGTCTCATAGGGTTAAGTCTTGAACACGTATTTCTTACAGATGACTATACTTATCTATCCGTTTCTCTGTGTCTTGCAGGTTGGTAAAGGATGCTCCCTGGGATGAGGTTCCTCTAGCCCACTCTCTGGTAGGCTTTGCCACAGCGTATGACTTCCTGTATGAGTACCTGAGCAAGGTGCAGCAGGAGCGCTTCCTGCAGGTGATCGGCAACGCTACGCGCTACATGTATGAGAAGTCCTACATCCGCGGCTGGGGCTTCCAGTACCTGCACAACCACCAGCCCACCAACTGTGTGGCTCTCCTCACCGGCAGCCTGGTCTACATGACCCAGGGTGAGTACCTCTGATCCATGCACTGTGTGTGTGTGTGTGTGTATGTATGTGTGTGTGCGTGTCTGTGCAGATAAACACAGAGAAACACAATGATTACTGCATTATCAGCTTTCAGAGGGTTCCTATATTATTTACTCTGTAGACTAGATATATATAGGAACAGTAGATTGGTAGTTTTCTATTCAGCCTATTCATGTTCCTCTTTGGAATACTGTGGCCTCTTCTTGGCAACTTAATTCCTCCTCAGTCACATCCCTCCTGTGTTACTTTAAATCACATTCGCCTTAAATGGATGGCAGCAATCCAGCTCCATATGACTTGAGTGAGATTGGTTCCTCCAGGGGAGGCTTGCCAGGCAGTCCCCTCTGCCCCTGAGGAGAGAAGCATTCTGGGCTGGAATTTCAGTTCAGTCAGCCCTGGGTATTCTCCATAGCTGCACTTAATCCAGCGGAGACTCCATACGATTCTATAACATTCTGGATGGACCTTTTCCCATTGTTTTTCTTAGTAGATTCAGTGTGAAATGAAGGAATGTATGACAAAAAAAGGGCCTAGTTATTTCCTGCACATTTCAAAAATGTTCCTTCTATTGTTTTAGTTTACATTTCCTGGTTGTATTTTATTGGATGTTTAAGTCAGAGGCAGAGAGGCCAAAGGAAGGTGAAGTTGTTCTTGTTGCTCCCAGCAGTGCAATACAGCTTGTTTCTGGTACAAAAATAATGAGAGTCGACGTAAACTAAATTACAGCAGGCTTATGGAGATAACTGTGGTCACCGTGGTTTTTCTTTGAGGCTGGTTTATGATAGTGAGCAGGGGGGTGAAATGAGAGAGGAGTGGGGGGAGGCAGGGGGCAGGAGGTGCAGACTCTGGAGAATTATAGCACCCCCTCTTTGTTTTGTATCAGATTGCTTGTTTCAAGTTGAGGAAAAACAGTGTGGTCCAGCAGCATTGGTTGTTAACTCTTCTGTTACCTTGGAAAAAAACGTCATTTGGTCATAACGGGGTCTTTGTGCTGACTGTATAAATGTTTAAAGCTGACTTTGCACTTGGACGTTTTAGTTTGGAAATTGTTAAAAGGTAGTTAATTAGAAGGTAGCTAAACTAACATACAGTATTTGCCTTGAGTACGACAGATTGAGGAAACGTGCAAACTGTTAGCTTTCTCATTCTTGGACCAGTTCATTTAAGGGCCTAACTCCGGCAAAATTATTTTACTGTGTGCTGTGCAGATGATCATATTCACTTCCTGCATTCCTTTGTCACGGATTTATCATTCATATCCTGTGCAAAAGTATGACATTACATGCAAATATTATTCTATTAAGAACTCAGTGAATAAATGGAACTTTGCCTGTAAGGTACTGCCAGAAGAAATCAAGAGCAAACATTGGCCTCATGTCACATTTCTTTCAGAGCTATTGTATTGCACAGGTCTATATTACTGAGATTTATGGAAGAATACAGCACCTCTCTTTATGTGTATTATTTTATAGGGGGAGACAAAAAGCCATTTGAAGCATTTATTCATAAGAAAGGGATAGGCTCCATCTGTTGAAAATAAAGGAAGGCTTATCTTTCCAAAACATAAAACCTCTTAAGACCTAAATTATATGGGAAAGTTAAGCTCAGCATGTTGGTACTGTATGTATACTATATTCTTCTTATCATTTCAAATCTTGATTGTGAGTCAGAAGGGATATTGTATGTGCTCTGTCCAAAAGGAGAGCCACAGGGAGAGAGTGGGTCAGATGACTAGATCACAGGACAGTAGCTTATAGGGGATCAGTGCATTCCTGATGCAGGTGTCTGTATGTTGGTGCTTGGCAGCTGCCTAGCTCCGCTCCTAATTGGACAGCCATATGTGGCATAGTTTACCCTGAGTTCATCTGTAGTTAAGCATCAGGAGTTAACCCTAAGACCTCAATCACCCACCTCTCTGCTACGGCCACCCAGGTGCTTGAGTTTTGTTATCTAGTGTAGAATGCTGGGACTCTGGGAGCCATTCAAAGTCATAGCCACAGTCACACTAGATTGTGTTGGTTCCTTAAACTAAAGCTGTTATACATGAACACTTAATTCATTTGTGGAAAAGTGTCTATTTTACACAAAATGGGTTGAGTCAACGTAGTTCCCTTGTTATTTCAATGTAATTGACCTTATATTCAACCACAAACAGGGTTTATAGGTTTGGTTTAAGATAATTGACAACTTAATCAAATGTCAAGCAAAATGGAATGTTTATTTAATGTCTTTGCCCGTTGGGTACAATGTGGAAAATTATATTACCATTCCTCTCAAGTGGATGCAGGTTTAAGCAATTGTCTAGACTTTTTTATTCTCCCAACTAGTATTACCTAGGCCTATATGATTGTCATGTCAATAAATGAAGCATAAATTCTTGGCAGACCACTATCATTTCATTGATCCTACGTAACATTTGAAGTTATTCCATTCTTGGGAAATCATTCTTTGTTCATTCCTGGAAATTAACTAAGAGGAACCAGAAATGTCTCTCTCAATCTAATCATAATTAGTGAAGAACCTCAAAGTAGTAGAAGGCAAGTCAAATGGCACCATCCCTTGACCTCACACATTCCTGCAGACCTCAGTGTCATGGTGCTGGGGAGTTAACAGACCAGACCTTCCCCAGGCAGCGGCTCTCAATGTGTGGATGACTAATGTGTACTGATGGGGGGCTCCAGAGCTCCAGAGCCAGTAACATCACTAACAGTATGGCTGAAGAAAAGCCCCTGATTTGATTGAATTATATGTACTTTTTCCATTTGATTCTAATTATATCAACTTTTTTTTGTTTATTAATTCCTATATACATGATGCCTATATCTAATAATGAAAAATGCAGAACAGTCCAAACACTGTGTGGACATGGAGTGTGGAGCTGGGGTGTGAGCGTGAGCGTAGTGAGATGCTGTTTGTGTAAATGTGGTCTTTGTGTGCCAGCAGTTCCTGTTTGATGGTAAATACCTGCTCTGTGTAGGCCACTGGTCTCCCAGCCCAAACCAAACACTGTGGTGGACGCCGGGTCTGGGGCTGGGCTGTGGGCTCTGGGTGGATGGGTGGATTCAGTCCACTGGGTAGCTGCCAGACACCCGTGATGGACTGGGATTCCTCAATGAAATGTGGCTGGAGTGTTTATATGGTCACTTCTTCTCAGAGAGAGAGAGAGAGAGAGAGAGAGAGAGAGAGAGAGACTATACATTAGTCTGGTATGGTAGTTTCATACTTTCCATGCATAACGGGAGGTTCCAGTGTGAAGTTCCTGGAAAGAAAAGGGAAGAAATATGGGAATGTGACTGACTGAGTAGCTTACTGTAACTACATTTATGACCTTCCTCACTTGAGACCGCACTTTACACCTAGCTTAATTGGGGTATGTCTCAAGAAAACAAACACTTTAGCTGGGTGACAGCAGTACAGTACAAATGTTTGGGAACCACTGCTCTAGAGTCATTGACGGACATGACTTTCCTCTGAAACCCAATAAGCTGACCCTGGTTTCTCCTCTGTTCTGTTCCAGGTTACCTGCAGGAGGCCTACCTGTGGACCAAGCAGGTCCTGGCCATCATGGAGAAGTCAATGGTGCTGCTGCAGGACGTGACGGACGGCTCGCTGTATGAGGGCGTGGCCTACGGGACATACACCACCCGCTCCCTTTTCCAGTACATGTTCCTGGTGCAGAGACACTTCTCCATCAGCCACTTCGGCCACCCCTGGCTCCACAAACACTTTGCCTTCATGTACAGGACCATCCTGCCAGGTAATACAGCTGTTATAGATGTTGTGTGTGTGCCATTCAATTCAATATAACTTAATTTCTCCTCTTAATGGTGTGTTACCTAAATGTTTCCCTTTGAAGAAGTTGCTTGGTTCGATCGACTGTGCATTTAGTCTAGATGTCACGTGATAGATTCAAAGGTGATATAGATACTGTATAGGTAGCAAGACAGGCTATTTTGAAAGGAAATACAGTGGAAGTTATCAATGTGTAAATAAGTGTTCATAAATGCCTTAGCGAACCTCTGAGGCACTTCTTGGCAACATTAATTACCCAAGTTATAAGTAGATTAGGCATGAAAACCCCCTGGGTGCATTACCCCCATGTTAGAGAGTATGACTACTTGTTTGTCCTGATATGGATTATGCATGCGTTACCTTCCTGGGGGCCTGTCGGAGCTGTGCTGATCCAGCCCCCCATCTCCCCTCTTCCCTCTTCCCTTGTCTCCTCTGCTCTCCTGTCCTGGCTGATGGTCAGGGGGAGGGCAGTGCTGGAGGAGGGGCCCTCAGGTCTGGACATTTTAGAGCCCCCTGCCAACACTCTCTGTATTGTGACTGGGGCTGGGTGCCACTGCTGCATTCAGAGAGCAGCTCTTAATTGCAGCAGCCAGGAGAAAGCTGGACTCACTACCCACAATGCCAGCTTTCTCTCTCCCAGATAATCCTGCCTAACTGCCTTCTGACTGACTGCACTGCACTTACTGACCCTGCACAGTCAGGTCCATAATTATTGGCACCCTTGATAAAGATGAGTAAAAAAGACTGTATAAAGTAAATAATACAAATACTGAGCTATGTTGTATGCCAAAGAGCTCTATTTTCATGTCATCTGACCATAGCGCCGGTTCCAATCCAAGTGCCAATGCCGTTTATCAAACTCCAGGCGTTGCTATGGTCAGATTACATGAAAATAGAGCTCTTTGGCCACGCACACCAGTGGTGGGTTTGGCATCGGAAAACGGAAGCATATGCAGAAAAGTACCTCATACCAACAGTAAAAATATCTTTGATGTTATGGGGCTATTTTGCTTCCACTGGAACTGTGGCCCTTGTTAAGGTCAACGGCATTATGAACTTTACCAAGTACCAGGAAATCTTAGCCAAAAACATGGTTGCCTCTGCCAGGAGGCTAACACTTGGCCTCAAGTGGATCTTCCAGCAAGTAAATAGCCCCAAGCACACGTCAAAATCCACAAAGAAATGGTTAATTGACCACAAAATCAACATTTTGCAATGGCCATCTCGGTCTCCTCACTTGAACCCCATTGAAAACCTGTTGTTTGAATTGAAAGGGAAAAGGAAAGGGGGATACCTAGTCAGTTGTACAACTGAATGCATTCAACTGAAATGTGTGTGAAGAGGGCAGTCCATAAGCGTAGATGAAGGATATCAAGGATCTGGAAAGATTCTGTATGGAGGAATGGTCTGAGATCCCTCCCAATGTGTTCTCCAATCTCATAAAAAAATTGTTTTCTTCCAATCTCATAAAAAAAAGCTCAGTGTCGTTATCTTCGCAAGGGTAGGGTGTTGGAGTATTGAAAACAGGGGTGCCAATAATTTAGATCCCTATCCTTTTTAGAATTTGTTTTATTACTTGTTAAACAAAATCTCTTTCTCTGAGCAATTGTATTAGTATAAAATATACTTTCCCCATTTTATTGGCATACAATATAGCTCAGTATTTGTATTATTTATTTTATACAGTCTTTTTTGCTCATCTTTCTCAAGGGATCCAATAAATCCGGACCCCACTGTATGTCTGTGTGTTCAAATGATGGGGGTTGTTGTTGTTCCGATAGGTTAGACTGTAAACAGGAGCCATGTTTTAAATGTATCTTGTGTTGGACTTACAAAGCTAGACCTTGAAAAAATGAAATCACCTCAGTGTTCCTGCATACAGACCCCACATCATTTGCATTGGGCATTTGTTTGTCCAAGGTCTAGTTTTGCATCACAGCAGGAATGTTGTAAACAGACAGTTTTTACGAAGTGGAAACACATATTGTCATTCCGCTTGTGCATTGATTTTGGTTATTGCTGTTATTGTTTTTGGCTTACATGTGATTTACTGTGGTTAAATATTTACTACCGGTTGCTAGGTTTTAAGATCCCTTTTGGCACCAAACTGCCATTATTTTCCTTAGATCATGAGAGTGAGACAAATTAATGTGAACCGTGTGTGTTGGGGAAATGGCTTCAGCAATAAAGCTAGGGAGCTGCGATCTCAACAGGGCCTGTAGATTGGCTCATTTCTTTATGTTAAGGACATGGCATGCATGCATGTAAAAGCTTTTGTTACCTATTCTGTAAAAAAAGGAAAGAAATTAATAATTACTTTGTAGCCTATGTATTACTATGCATTCCATCAAATAGAAAGCTATGTTGTTTGTACATCTGAACTGAGGAGACTAAATTACTTGGCGTTACCTTAGATTGTAAACTATCATGGTCAAAACATATAGATTCAATGGTTGTAAAGATGGGGAGAGGACTGTCCGTAATAAAGAGATGGCACCACACTCCAAAAAGCAAGTTCCGCAGGCTCTAGTTTTGTCTAATCTTGATTATTGTCCAGACATGTGGTCCAGTGCTGCAAGGAAATACCTAGTTAAGCTGCAGCTGACCCAAAACAGAGCGGCACATCTTGCTCTTCATTGTAATCAGAGGGCTGATATAAAAACTTTGCATGCCAGTCTCTCTTGGCTAAGAGTTGAGGAGAGACTGACTGCATCACTTCTTCTTTTTATAAGAAACATTCATGTGTTGAAAATCCCAAATTGTTTGCATAGTCAACTTACACACAGCTCTGACACACACTTACCCCACCAGACATGCCACCAGGGGTCTTTTCACAGTCCCCAAATCCAGAACAAATTCAAGAAAGCGTACAGTATCATATAGAGCCATTATTGCATGGAACTCCGTTCCATCTCATATTGCTCAAATAAACAGCAAACCTGATTTCAATAAACAGATAAAGCAACACCTCATGGCACAACGCCTCTCCCCTATTTGACCTAGATAGTTTGTGTGTATGTATTGATATGTAGGCTACGTGAGCCTTTAAAAAAATGTTATGTAGTTCTGTCCTTGAACTGTTCTTGTCTATTAATGTTCTATATTATGTCATGTTTCATGTTTTGTGTGGACCCCAGGAAGAGTAGCTGCTGCTTTTGCAACAGCTAATGGGGATCTTAATAAAAGACCAAATACCAAATACCAAACTGGACCTTGGACAGTATGTAGCTGTCACTTCATATTTGTCAGAGTTTTATGATAATAACATTCAATATTCCTCTAACAAACCAGTATGAAAGGCCACTATTGAATTTGCCTTCTCCTATATTTTAACTGTAAAATAATCCATATGGATCTTTTGCCCTTGCCTGTTCCATCTCACCAGGGTTCCAGAGGACTGTAGCCATAGCAGATTCCAACTACAACTGGTTCTACGGGCCCGAGAGCCAGCTGGTGTTCCTGGATCGCTATGTGATGAGGAACGGCAGTGGGAACTGGCTGGCTGAGCTGATCCATCAGAACCGGGTGTTGGAGGGGCCGGGACAGGCCGGGAAGGGACAAAGATGGTGCACACTGCACACAGAGTTCCTCTGGTGAGAATCTCTCTCTCTCTCTCTCTCTCTCTCTCTCTCTCTCTCTCTCTCTCTCTCTCTCTCTCTCTCTCTCTCTCGCTCTCTCTCTCTCTCTCTCTCTCTCTCTTTGTCTCTTTGTCTCTCGCTCTTTCTCTCTCTATTGATTTAAGTGTACTGTTATACACTGAGTGTACAAACATTAGGAACACATGCTCTTTCCATGATATAAACTGACCAGGTGAATCCAGGTGAAAGCTATGATCCCTTATTGATGTCACTTGTTAAATCCACTTCAAGTCAGTGCAGATGAAGGAGAAGAAACATGTCAAACAAGGATTTTTAAGCCTTGAGACAATTGAGATATGGATTGTGTATGTGTGCCATTCAGAGGGTGAATGGGCAAGACAAAATATTTAAATACCTTTGAACTGGGTATGGTAGTAGGTGCCAGGTGCACTGGTTTGAGTGTGTCAAGAACTGCAACGCTGCTGGGTTTTTCAGCCTCAACAGTTTCCTGTGTGTATCAAGAATGGTCCACCACCCAAAGGACATCCAGCCAACTTGACACAACTGTGGGAAGCATTGGAGTCAACATGGGCCAGCATCCCTGTGGGACGCTTTCGATACCTTTTATAGTCCATGCCCCAACGAATTGAGGCTGAGGTCAAAAGGGGGTGCAACTCAATATTAGGAAGGTGTTCCTAATGTTTTGTACATATATGCTGTATTGTATGGATTTACATGTTATTATCATACTGATTTACTCAATTATTACTCAATTCATTTGTTGTTGTTTTATTTCCATTCTGCAGGTATGATCCCAGCCTGACTCCCAGGGCTCCTGCAGATTTTGGTACATCCCAACTCCACTACTTTGAGGACTGGGGGGTCGTCACGTATGGAAGTGCTCTACCCGCAGACACCAACCACACCTTCCTCTCCTTTAAGTCGGGGAAGCTGGGTGGACGGGCCATATTTGACATCGTTCACAGGAACAAGTACAAAGACTGGATCAAAGGGTGGCGGAACTTTAACGCTGGCCACGAGCACCCTGACCAGAACAGCTTTACGTTCGCCCCTAACGGTGTTCCTTTTATCACAGAGGCTCTGTACGGGCCCAAGTACACCTTCCTCAACAACGCAGTGCTGTTCTCCCCGGCTACCTCAGGAAGCTGCTTCAAGCCATGGGACGGCCAGGTCACAGAGGCCTGCGACTCCAAGTGGCTGAAGTACAAGGTGGGGCTGCCGGCAGACGCCCAGGGCAGGGTGGAGGCGGCTCTGGAAAGGCAGGGCATGGTGTTCATCCGTGGGGAGGGCCAGTCGGCCTACAACCCTGACCTGAAGATCAGGAGCTTCCAGAGGAACCTGCTGCTCCTGCACCCTCAGCTGCTGGTCCTAGTGGATCATATCCATCTGGAGACAGACAGCCCAACCAGGGCCATGAGCGCCTTCTTCCACAACACAGACCTGCCCTTTAAGGACGCCAAAATAGACGGTGTGCACGGAGCCTTTGTCAGACATGGGGAAGACCCATATAAAATGTTTTGGATGGATGACACAGGCTTAAGTGAGAAAGGGGTCTTGGGGTACTGGAACTATCCCCGTGGGTACCCCTATAACGGCTCTAACTATGTGAATGTGACAATGCCACTGAGGTTTCCCCATACCAGGGTGGCCTACATCTTCTTTGGGCCAGGGGTGGACGTGCAGAGCTTTAGTCTGCGTGGCGATGCTAATAGGGTGAACATTTACTTGGCCACCAACGAGCACACCTACACCATCTACCTGCTGACTGGGGAGGTGACCACCAAGCCTCTGTTCGCCATGGTGCTGGTGGACCAGAAGAAAATAGTATTTGAGAAAGCAGCAGGAGTGAAGAACAGCACACCGGAGGAGGTAGAGGAGTATGTCAATGTAGTAGAGGACAACCTCCAGCACGCAAAGCCTGTTTTCCAGCAGCTGGAGAGACACATCCTGGGCCGGGTGCTCAACACGGCCAGCTTCCGCAAGACGGCCGAGCGTCTCCTCCAGTTCTCTGACAAGAAGAAGACGGAGGAGGCCATTGAGAAAATGTTTGCTCTGAATAAGAAACAGGGCAAGGGCAAGGGGGCCAATAAAGCCTTGGGGAACCTTGGGGACAAGCTCTCAGAGAGCCTGCCGGACATCTTTGGACAGATCGAGGTAAGGGAGAAGAAGGAGAGATCAAAGAGCACAAAGAGGATTATTGAGGAGAGCCCCGAGGAAGATGGAGACTCCAGGGCCTTTATGGATTATGGAGACTCCAAAAAAGGCAGGAAAGGCGGCTTTGTGAAGGGTCGCCAGTTCAAGGAGGTCCACATGTTGGCAACAGCCAACAGTGACAGTCTGTCGAACTCATCCTCTTATATTAGAGTATTCCTCATATTAAACATAGCCACCTTCTTCTTGCTACTGGCTGTGTTATTGACACGCTTCCAGAGAGGCAGAAGTCTGCACACCAAGAGGTGTTTCTATGGCATTCTCCTCATCGACAGCTTCATCTTACTCTGCCTCTACTCCTCCTGCTCTCATGCACAGTGTTGACATCATCACTGTGCGACGAGGGGAATGTCCATGTGCAGACCTATTGAACTGTTATAGTTTGCCATGGGTGAATAAAATGCACCATACACCTCAGTCTGAGCCAAGTCTACCTGATGGGTGTCCAGGAAATAATTAATTCCAAATAGGAATTGATAGATTTAATAACGAGATTAAGCCAGACCTCCTCTGAGATCCTAAGCTTCTGTGGAGCTTTAGAATGGAGTCTGTGTGAACTTTTTCATGTACAGTATTTAGAGTAGACCTCTTGCTTCATATCAAAGATCGCCAAGGCTAGCCACTAAAATGCAGATATCTCTGCCTCTCTCTATGGACGTTTTGACATGCAGTCTAAGTCAAAACGAATATAGAAAGAATGTACATATGTTCAAACAAGATATATTTTTGTGGTATTATTTCTACTCTTTGTAATGAAAAAGGAACAATATGCATAGATGTGCAATGGGATTTTCATTGTGTATTTGCTTTTGCCTGATGAATGTGGGGACTTTGCAGATTAAAAGCTGTAGAAATATGTTACCTCAGTCAGTGGTCCTCTCTGTGTCCATAACTGCAGTATAATACCATTGCATTTAACCAAATTGGCTTAGCTGCATAACCAATCAAATTGTCACCCCCACCACACCAATTTAAGTATTGTGATATTGTTCTTAAGCTGTCAGGGTCCATGTAAGTCCATTTAGAGTAATACACTTTGGAAAGTTCATTTTACTCCCCAACAGTAACATATTTGCTTTCATGCTCTCACCTGTATGAATACTTGCAGCATGTTGGTGAAGCTATTCACTTATGCGAGCATAGAGTCATGTTATTGTCCATCACAAAACCCACCTAATATAATTACACACCTGCTCCTCCTCTCGATAAACCATTTGTCATTACTGCTCATGTTTATTGTTGTTACTGACTCTGTTCTAATGGGTTTACAGGCGGGCACAACAGGGATGAGGACCTTTGTGTTACTTCATTGGGATATGTACCTTGGTTAGGAGGAAACCGCTACTCTGCTAGTCATGGGTTCGTGAGGGATGGGAGAACTCAATGCTAGGAGAGGGGTCGATTTTTGGTGGGCATTGGTGGAGTAGATTTGGGGGAAATACTGTATTAAATAGCCTTGTACCGGTACAGACATATCTGTCGTCAAATGAGTGTATGATAAAGTTATCCTCAGATCAGGAAGTTGGTTGTATCAATATTTACTCACTCCTGCTCAGTCACACAGATAATAAGGAGAGACATGCAAACAAGTCTTCACTTCCTCTGGTGTGTTTTGCACATGTGAGGGTGGGCACTATCTCTCTCTCTGTGAATTCCCAGGTGTGTCTGCTGAAAATGTGCAAGCCAACATTACAGTCTAAATTCTAGACACATGACTCCTCTGCCTGCAAGTGGAAGGAGCTACAACACATGCCAGTGTCATCACAAGTTGCACTCAATTTGATTAGGTGAGTGGGGTGCTCAATCCACTATAACACTATAGCCTAATCCTGCTGTATCTTGCCAATGAATTTACCTAAACTATGACTCATGGAAGCCCTAGTCTCTTGTGACAGCGCAGTGATTTTGTTCTGGGTGCCGAGATTATGAAAGCCCTTGTGACAATCAAGTAGCATCTCTTAGTCAGGGCTGGCTAGCAACAATCAGAATTAATTGTTTTGTCATCTCATTAAAAAAACGTATTTTCACTGCCCTTTATCGTTGTCATGTCATTCAATAGAGAGTTTTATGCAAGATCAAATGTGATTGAAAGGGTACCAGTATAATGTCTCAAATGTTGTGGTGATGCATAATAAACTTGAATTGATTACTTAGAAAATGAATTGAGTTATAGGACGATGAGTTCACCATTCATCTCAATGGCAGTGGCTGTATTTAGGACGGATCCCACTGTCAGAAACATGACCCAGGTAGTGAGATAGCCAGGCAATATCAAATTTACGTAATCCATGACCTTTGACATATTTCCATCATTGCTCAAATGCCACTTAACCTATCAATTCCTATGAACATGAGTAGCGGCACACGAGTCAATGAAATACAGTGCCTTCAGAAAGTATTCACACCCCATGCCTTTTTCAACATTTTGTTGTGTTACAGCCTGAATTTAAATTGATTAAATTTAGATTTTTTGGTTACTGGCCTACACACAATACCCCGTAATGTCAAGATGGAATTATGTTTTTTAAAATGTTTACAAATTCATTAAAAATGAAAAGCTGAGATTTATTGAGTCAATAACTATTCAACCCCTTTGTTATGGCAAGCCTAAGTAAATTCAGGAGTAAAAATGTGCTTAACAAGTCACATAGTAAGTGACATGGACTCACTCTGTGTACAATAATAGTGTTTAACATGATTTTTGAATGACTATCTCATCTCTGTACCCCACACATACAAGTATCTATCTATAAGGTCCCTCATTCGAGCAGTGAATTTCAAACACAGATTCAACCACAAAGACCAGGGAGGTTTTCCAATGCCTCGCAAAGAAGGGCAAGTGGGAGAACTTGCACAATTGGTGGCTGACTAAATACTTTTTTCCCCACTGTAGATTTTTTTCTTCCACTTTGACATTACAGAGAATTTTGTATAGATCATTGACAAAAACATGACAATTAAATCAATTTTAATCCCACTTTGTAACACAACAAAATGTGGAAAAAGTCAAGAGGTGTGAATACTTTCTGAAGGCACTGTATAGGCAAAAGAATGTCTGTCTCTCCAAAACTGTAGGCTACAGTATTTTGATATTTGTCCTTGGCAGTAGATCATTGCCAGATGTGTTGTAAGTCACTCTGGTAGATCATCTGTAGGGTTCACTTATGTAAAGGTGATTTGGCTGGTCAAGCTACTCAAGAGAGAAAAAACACCTTCCAGGCTCCTATATAATCCTCAACCAAGTCAGACTCACTCAAACTCAACCTATAGATAAACTAACAAATACAGATTTTATATTTATTGCATTTATGAATGTAAAACCTGCATTATAATGTTTTTCTATTTCAAAAAAGACTGAAAACCTGTAAGACTAGTGTTACTTTACTACGATAACCAGTTCATCTTTGGTCATACCGTTAGATTTGAAGTGTCACTCACACTCACTCATAGAACAAACTGTACACTACATTCCCACGGGGGCCAGTATGAAAAATGTATGCACTCACTAACTGTAAGTCGCTCTGGATAAGAGCGTCTGCTAAATTACTAAAATGTAAAATGTACACCGAATAGGCTTCAAACAGGTTTTATATCCTTTCTGCCTGCCTACACTGTACTGTACTCGTACTGAATAGGCTCCAAGGCTCTGCTGCCACCTGCTGGTAATTGTGTGCCCAGCGACATTATGGACGTGGAACCAGATGCTTGACGTCCTCTGCGCCTGACGGGGTCGCTGTATAATTTCCAGCTACAATGATAGAACCGTCTCGCTCTCCGTTGAAAATGTTGGAAACCGCTTCCCGGAAACGTTCGAGCGTGGAATGTGCATTCAGTGTTCCTTGAGGTGACTGTCAAACATGGGGGCACGCGTTGCACGGTTGTTTAGGAATTTTAACTTAGAAAACCGAGTACATCGTGAGATTGGGAAGGCAAAACCTGAAGCGGCACCTCGACATCTGACCCACATTGATCCTGTTCAGAGTACAGAGGGTGAGTAACGTTACATAGGGCTTTTTGTTATTGCATTGAAGAACTTGTGTAAGTCTGAGGGTCAACTCAGCCGGTAACTACGCCAGCCAGGATGTTAGTAAGTATACCAAAGCTTGCTTTCCTGGCTAGTGTTTCTTAACGTTACAGCTTAGTAGCTATTTGAAACCAAGGTTTAAGTGTACGTATTGTGGTTTTCCAATTCTGTAGCAAGCACAAGCTAAGATGCTTAACTAGCTAGCAGCAAAGATGGCAAATGACCCATTCAACACTAGGGTTCACCCTCTGCTTATAACGTTATGCTCTGCTGCCAGTACATACCAGTCTGTATCACAGTCACACTTATTTAATATGTTGTTCTTTGTCCCCTGAGGCCTAAACGATTTTGTTTCCTTCAGTTGCTGAGATCAATGATGCCATCCACAAGAGAAACGACCCCCTCCTGGGGTTGCTGAAGTCGGTTTATGTGGAATCAAAGGATCCTACAGAGGTGAGAGCCTAAAATAATGACTATTCAATTGACATTTAGTGAGTGATTTGATAGCTAGACATATAGATATGTGCTTGATTAGCACCCTACTCTGTTTCAATACAAACAGGCTCCAAAGGAGGTGACTGAGGAGAATGTGGAGGAGCGCAGACCACTGAAGTTCAGCCTACCTGGGGACCCCTATGGGATTGTGGAGATCACCGATGTCCCCAAAGGCAAACTGTCTATTGTTGAGGCCCTAAAAGCTCTTAACAATCACAAGAATGCTCCCCAAACATGGACATTGGAGAATGTCGCCCAGGAGTACTCTCTTGACTTGAAAGACACTAAAGCACTTCTAGAGCATTTCATCCCCTTCGAGGTTAAGATCATACCCCCCAAGACAAAGGACGATGCAAAGCAGATCAAAGATACCTAGGACGAAGATGCAGTATTCCTGGCCTTTAAAGACAACGGCTATCAGCCAAGTGAATTATTTATTTATGTAAATGTACTTGAAGGTTGTCTGCTCTGCTTCAAGGTTCAGTCTTGGAATGGAGAAAGTGTGGAATTATTAGTTTTTCGTCCAAATGAAACTGCAATATTTTGAGTGTTAAATACTGTAACGAAACGAGGGAGAAGCATGAGGTTCCGAGGCATGATTTAAACCCAGTACACTAGTGTTCAGAGCCAGACATGTTACCGCTACTCCAAGTTACAGCTACTCCAAGAAAGCTAGCTTCATTGTGGGAGTGGTAATCAGTGTTATAACTGGCAAGGTCGTAACAATACTCCATATGATTGTGTAAATCTCAATACACCTTTAATAATGACTAAATCAACCAATTATATAATTGTATGAATGATGTGATATTGGCCTGCAAATCCATTCATACTACTTTGCTAATTACGTTTTCATCAAGGCCATCCCTGTATCACAAAACTGACAGTAAATTGACTGTCACTTGCTAATTTGGCATCTTTCTACAAATCTCAATGTACTCTCCTCTACAATTGTTTATTTATATAAACCAATGTTATGTGTTTTTGTAATTCCTGTTAAGATTGGAAAACTAGTACTGTATCATGATTATATACACTACATGGCCAAAAGTATGTGGACACCTACTTGTCGAACATCTCATTCTAAAATCATGAGCATTAATATGGAGTTGGTCCCCCCTTTGCTGCTATAACAGCCTCCACTCTTCTGGGAAGGCTTTCTACTAGATGTTGGAACATTGCTGCGGGGTCTTGCTTCCATTCAGCCACAAGCATTAGTGAGGTCGGCACTGATGTTGGGCGATTAGGCCTGGCTCGCAGTCGGCGTTCCAATTAATCCCAAAGGTGTTTGATGGGGTTGAGGTCAGGGCTTTGTGCAGGCCAGTCAAGTTCTTCCACTCCGATCTCAACAAACCATTTCTGTATGGACCTCGCTTTGTACACGGGGGCATTGTCATGCTGAAATAGGAAAGGGCCTTCCCCACACTGTTTCCACAAAGTTGGAAGCACAGAATCGTCTACAATGTAATTGTATGCTGTAGCGTTAAGATTTCCCTTCTGGAACTAAGGGGCCTAGCCCGATGCATGAAAAACAGCCCCAGACAATTATTCCTCCTCCACCAAACTTTACAGTTGGCACTATGCATTCGGGCAGGTAGCGTTCTCCTGGCATCCGCCAAACCCAGATTTGTCCGTCGGACTGCCAGATGGTGAAGCGTGATTCATCACTCCAGAGAACATGTTTCCACTGCTCCAGCATCCAATGGCGGTGAGCTTTACACCACTCCAGCTGAAGCTTGGCATTGCGCATGGTGATCTTAGGCTTGTGTGCGGCTGCTCGGCCATGGAAACTCATTTCATGAAGCTCCCAACGAACAGTTATTGTACTAACGTTGCTTCCAGAGGCAGTTTGGAACTCGGTAGTGAGTGTTGCAATCGAGGACAGACGATTTTTATGCACTTCAGCACTCTGTGGTCCCGTTCTGTGAGCTTGTGTGGCCTACCACTTTGCGGCTGAGCCGTTGTTGCTCCTAGATGTTTCCACTTCACAATAACAGCACTTACAGTCTACCGGGGTAGAAATTTGACGGTGCCACGTTGAACGTCACTGAGCTCTTCAGTAAGGCCATTCTACTGCCAATGTTTGTCTATGGAGATTGCATGGCTGTGTGCTTGATTTTATACACCTGTTAGCAACGGGTGTGGCTGAAATAGCCGAATCCAATAATTTGAAGGCGTGTCCACATACTTTTGTATATATTGTGTACCTCGCCTCTAGTGTCATTTAATATCATCAAAAGGAAATGTAAATTCTGAAATATTGATCAATAACATAATGACTGCTTTCAATTGAGGACTGCAGTATAGTAGTGGTCATCATTGGTCACTAGACCTATGCTATAATTTGAAAACTTCCATACACCTTTTGGATCAGATCACTCTTTGTGAGAATATCCTTCTTAAAATGTGTCATATACTGAGTGTACAAAACATTAGGAACATATATACTGACCAGGTGAAAGCAATGATCCCTTACTGATGTCACTTGTTAAATCCACTTCAATCAGTGTAGATGAATGGGAGGAGACAAGTTAAGAAGTATTTTTAAGCCTTGAGACATGGATTGTGTGTGTATGCCATTCAGAAGAGAACTGCAACTCTGCTGGGTTTTTCATGCTCAACAGTTTCTCGTGTGTATCAAGAATGGTCCACCACCCAAAGGACATCCAGCCAACTTGACACAAGTGTGGGAAGCATTGGAGTCAAAATGGGACAGCATCCCTGTGGAACGGTTTCTAAACCTTGTAGAATCCATGTCCCTACGAATTGAGGCTGTTCTTAGGGCAAAAGGGGGTGCAACTCAATATTAGGAAGGTGTTCCTAATGTTGTGTACACTCAGTGTACTTTGCAGGGCCATTTATTTAATGAAAGCGTAGAATCATGATGTTGATGTGGATTATTGTGACGTTTCATTCAACAAATCAAACACATTATTTTAGCAAAATAGTGGACCTTGTTAAAAGCAAGAATCATTAATTAAAACGATAACAAAGCGGCCTCCGGTGTTTGGTAGAAAGCTGAGGGATGGTCCTGGAGAAATCTAACCACTTTCAAATTCATACATTTAAGTCATTTAGCAGACGCTCTTTATCCAGAGTGACTTACAACAGCAATTAGGGTTAAGTGCCTTGCTCAAGGGCACATTGACTGATTTTTCACCTAGTCAGCTCGGGGATTCAAACCAGCAACCTTTCAGTTACTAGCCCAACGCTCTTAACCGCTAGGCTACCTGCTGCCCATTAACTATTGCTTGCTCTAGTGGTTACCCTCAACAGCTCAGGGAACCTGACCACCTGGAACAGACTAATACTAACATCAACACTTGCTACAGTGGTCCCTAACAGTAAGCATCATCAACGGTAATGGGCAGGCTCTGGAGCAAAAATCATTATGTTTCGTTGTTGTTTTACATGAATTCATATTGAAAATTGATACCTGGTTGGGGGAGTAGAGGGTAAAGTGTTTACTTTTCTTCTGCCCCGTTCCTCAGCTTTAATTGGTAGGTCTGCTGTGATAAAACAATGATGGATTGTGATTCTAAAGTTTTAGTTTATTTGTGTGTACCTTATTTGTTGTTTATCTTTTACATAACTTCATTTTGTAGCTGACATTAATATCTTTAAATAAACATTTTGTATTTTATCTACAATTTGTCATGATTGGCCATATGTCATTTTAAGAATTTCATAGACTGTGTAGTAAGGTTGTAACATTCATTGACAGTTATTGTTAGAAATATTAGTACCTTTAGAAAATTAACAGATTCTGTAATAGAGAGAAGGTAGAAGAAATATATATATACACTACCGGTCAAAAGTTTTAGAACACCTACTCGTTCAAGGGTTTTTCTTTATTTTTACTATTTTCTACATTGTAGAATAATAGTGAAGACCTCAATACTATGAAATAACACATATGGAATCATGTAGTAACCAAAAAAGTGTTAAAACAAAATATATTTTATATTTGAGATTCTTCAAAGTAGCCACCCTTTGCCTTGATGACAGCTTTGCACACTCTTGGCATTCTCTCAACCAGCTTCATGAGGTAGTCACTTGGAATGCATTTAAATTAATAGGTGTGCCTTGTTCAAAGTTAATTTGTGTAATTTCTTTCTTTCTTAATACGTTTGAGCCAATCAGTTGTGTTGTGACAAGGTAGGGTTGGTATACAGAAGATAGCCCTATTTGGTAAAAGACCAAGTCCATATTATGTCAAGAACAGCTCAAATAAGCAAAGAGAAACGGCAGTCCATCATTACTTTAAGACATGAAGGTCAGTCAATACGGAACATTTCAACAACTTTGAAAGTTTCTTCAAGTGCAGTCGCAAAAACCATCAAGCGCTATGATGAAACTGGCTCTCATGAGGACCGCCACAGGAATGGAAGACCCAGAGATACCTCTGCTTTAGAGGATAAGTTCATTAGAGTTACAAGCCTCAGAAATTGCAGTCCAAATAAATGCTTCACAGAGTTCAAGTAATAATAATAATAATATGCCATTTAGCAGACGCTTTTATCCAAAGCAACTTACAGTCATGTGTGCATACATTTTTACGTATGGGTGGTCCCGGGGATCGAACCCACTACCCTGGCGTTACAAGCGCCATGCTCTACCAATTGAGCTACAGACACATCTCAACATCAACTTTTCAGAGGAGACTGTGTGAATCAGGCCTTCATGGTCGGATTTCTGCAAAGAAACCACTACTAAAGGACACCAATAATAAGAAGAGACTTGCTTGGGCCAAGAAACACGAGCAATGGACATTAGAAACGGTGGAAACGTGTCCTTTGGTCTGGAGTCCAAATGTGAGATTTTTGGTTCCAACCGCCGTGTCTTTGTGAGACGTGGTGTGGGTGAACGGATGATCTCTGCATGTGTATTTCCCACCGTAAAGCATGGAGGAGGATGTGTTATGGTGTGGGGGTGCTTTGCTGGTGATACTGTCTGTGATTTATTTCGAATTCAAGGCACACTTAACCAGCATGGCTAACACAGCATTCTGCAGTGATACGCCATCCCATCTGGTTTGGGCTTAGTGGGACTATCATTTGTTTTTCAACAGGACAATGACCCAACACACTTCCAGGCTGTGTAATGTCTAATTTACCAAGAAGGAGAGTGATGGAGTGCTGCATCAGATGACCTGTCCTCCTCAATCCCCCGACCTCAACCAAATTGAGATGGTTTGGGATGAGTCAGACCGCAGAGTGAAGGAAAAGCAGCCAACGAGTGCTCAGCATATGTGGGAACTCCTTCAAGACTGTTGGAAAAGCATTCCAAGTGAAGCTGGTTGATAGAATGCTAAGAGTTTGCAAAGCTGTCATCAAGGCAAAGGGTGGCTATTTGAAGAATCTCGAATATAAAATA